CTCCGTCTCTGTTTCGTAGGTGTTGACCCGCACCCTCTTTTTTTTTTCCCACACGCAACTGAAAAGATGGGGCGACTATGGATAAGTAGGCCTGTTGCAACAGTGGGCTTCTGTTCATTAACAGCACGTCAATCTCTGGTCAGATGTGTTGTGGCAGCGAGCGGTGACCAAAGGTTACATCATACGTGATCACAAGCTGCTTGCTTCATAGTAACTGCATACATACTCACCTCTTTGCCTTTGATTACGAAGATTATGTGACTAAGGATGAATGACGTGGCCAAGCAGACCCAGTTGCGACCTACATAATTTGCCATAACTTATGCATAGAAAGCAGATTCTTTAGGGTCTAAGTTTTTTTTTTCGTCGACTGCGCCTGTCTTATCTGATTAATTACAGACGTTACTTCAAAAGGAAATATAATTACGCCTGTGATAATCCAGTTAAGCTAGTTTATTAGTGATTTAGTATTTGCCAAGTCATAGCTTTTCCTGGCTGATTCAGGCAACCCATTCCATGCTCTAATAGCACTAGGGAAGAAGGAGCACTTGAACACATTTGTCGTAGCATATGGAACGAGTAAATGCTTTACCCTTCTGTCTTTCTGAGTATTTTATTATGTTTTATTTTCAGAAAAGATATAGTATAACAATATATAACATAATAACAATATAGATGCAAATACGAACACCATTCACACACGGAACACATGCACACTAACAACTCGCGCTTTGTAAGTTAGACTTCTTTGTACTTCTCGATGACGACAGATGACCTTTCGTGTTTGTAAACTATGGTACAGCAAGTGTTATGTAATATTGCTACTTTATTTTTTAGCCTTCTGAGTGATTTTGATCATTGTGCTACTCTATTCAAATGTGTTCTTTTTTGGCAGTTGTTTTTCTCAGTCAGCTCTATCAAAATGGTGCCTCATTTGATCTTTATAGCGCCTGGGGGGGGGGGGGGAGGGTCTCTGTTAAGCCATTCTCCATTACGCTTGGATTAAAGATCGCAATTGGCATGCTGTCATTCCAATACTCATAACTCAAATGTAATATAATAATTTTTGGATTATTTCCAATTAAATGACAAATGCTTGTTGTTAGAACTGAGAGCTTAAGAAAAAATAATCAAATTCCATTTCAAAAATGTTTAGATTTTAACAGCTGGACAGATGAAAGAAATAGGTGTTTATATATAGGCCTTTATTAGTCTGTGTTTTGTCTCTATTTTGAACGAAAACATTTATCTCGAGATTATTTATTAAGAATCACTAAGTGCGCAAACTATCCTGAAAGTACTTGAATTGTATCTAGTAATCTTTACCTTCGCACATTTTAAGAATTTTTAATCTAAGTAGAGAGAGAGAATGTCTATGATTCAGATATTCTGCCCTATGACAAAGTTCGTTGGTTATAGAGAGAAACATTTCAAGCTTCAATGTTTACTGAATTAAAAAAAAAATCTTCATTATTCACTATTCACTGTGCAGAGATAACGAACGAATTGTAGATGACAGCTCATCTTTTTTATTACGGGCATGTAAGGCTAATTTAAAAAAGATTAACAACGTCATAGACAAAGTCAATATTTGATGGAATGATTATGTACGATGGGGGATTATTTACGAGGATGGCTGCCTGGTCGTTCGGTATGCGCGTTGGATTGTCGTTCGCACTTCTCGAGGTCCCTGGTTCAAACCCTGTCCACTCCCGTCGTCCATCAGAAAGGTTCGGACTAGGAAGTAAATATTATCTTTAACTCTGAAGGAACATCCGCAACATGTAAAACATTTGACAAACATTTTACAATTATTGAGTGACAAAGACATTTTATTGCGCAATACTTTGTGTTCGACATGTTTATAAGTGTTATCTAACCATTGAATATGTCGGCACATCTGGGAAGCGTGGCCGAGATGCCAAGTACGCTTGAACTTATCTTGGCTTGGCTACCTATGAAGAAGGCTCGAGGTTCGACACCCGGCTCGAGCAGAGTTGTGTTTACTGAGCGCCTACAAGCATAAAAGTAGCGCTATATAACAGCTAACTTTGTTATTATTATCTCTTCACACAACTACACGGCCAATATAAATTCAACACTTCTTATTCACCATAGCGAATCACTAATCAAAATATTGGACCTAGCTCTGGTTGAATCTCTAGCTCACATCTTAAAGGTAGATCTCGTTCCTAGTTGAAAGGGGCAACAAAAGTACAAATCCACAAACAGCCATGCTGAACAATCGTCTATCGGTAGCCAAGGACGCTAAGAGATGACGTAAACACAGTCTTTGACAACAGCACACAGGCAAAGCCTATAGGTAAATCCGGCCCTGGTATTATTACTAAGTTTAATTTGATGTAGGCCCCCAACCCAAAACACAGGTACCGGTAGTCGCGATATTGTACTTCAAAATCCTATATCTTATTATTTCAATAAAAATGTCTTCAGGGCTATTAACTCTGATCAAACTTCAATTTCGTATGTTTATATTTGTCTCTTTTGGATGACGAGTTTGCTGACCACTGGTTAGTAGATTGTGTGTATGTGTATTGAGGGGTCACGGGTCAGAGTAATTTAAGCGATCTATTGTTTCATTGCATCTAAACGTCAAAGTGTGTACAACTAGGCGTAGGTCTATCTAGTCCCGGATGTAACACAAGCAATTTACATGTCTCAGATGACCAATCCCGTGGACTTTTAGAATCTAGATCGAGCTTTGGCACAGAAGCCTTCTGGTCACTGGCGGTGAAAGTGAACAGAGCTCAGTGTGTTGCTACCACGCTTGAAATATCTATTTCGTTGTGTCCCTTGTGTCTATAGTGTCATCTTTGGCTGCAGCCAATGCAGGTCTGTTTGCTATTGGATTGTCTTCCATCTAGATCTAGATCTTATACCATCTTACTATCTAGTCAATATTTAATAATTTATTTGCTTTGGCAACTAGATCTAACTCTTTACTTTATGGTAATTTAATACTAGATCTAGATTCTGGATCTAACTCTAGTAACTCTAGACTATAGATTTATGACTACATAGGACGTCTCTGCATTAGAAGTTTAGATCTATCTAGATCTATAATTCTATTATACTAATCATCAAGATTCAAGATCTAGACTAGATATATAGATGAGAATGGCTTAGCCTTAGATCTAGAACTAGCTGTCTGCACAAATTGAAAGCTTTGTAACTAATCAGCTTTTGTGCTTAAACCAGCTCAGAGATTATGCAAAACTTGGATTTGTTTATTATTCCTTGTTACTGTTAGGCTTGTTGACTTGTAGATTTCCATTAGATCTAGTCTATCCAGATCTTGATGGCCTGCAACATCTAGATCTTAATGATAAATGTGTAACAAAAAAAAAAGATACTGTCAATTATTATAAAGCTTATTTGTGACTATTTGTGAAAAGAAAAATGTTGCCTTAATAGCATAACTAGATAGTTACTTAGTTTAGATTTTAGGTCCTAAGTTGTTCATTTGTGTCAACATTTGCACAACTTGGTCTGCATAGTCATGTGAAATACTGCAGGCCTACACATCCATACCATTTGTATTAAAGATGGTGTCACTCATCCATAACCTAGTATTAAAGATGGTGTCACTCACCCATAACCTGCGCATTAACGATGGTGTCACTCATCCATAACCTAGTATTAAAGATAGTGTCACTCATCCATAACCTAGTATTACAGATGGTGTCACTCATCCATAACCTAGTATTACAGATAGTGTCACTCATCCATAACCTATTATTAAAGATGGTGTCACTCATCCATAACCTAGTATTAAAGATGGTGTCACTCATCCATAACCTAGTATTAAAGATGGTGTCACTCATCCATAACCTAGTATTAAAGATGGTGTCACTCGCCCATAACCTACGCATTAAAGATGGTGTCACTCATTCATAACCTAGTATTAAAGATGGTGTCACTCATCCATAACCTAGAATTAAAGATGGTGTCACTCATCCATAACCTAGTATTAAAGATGGTGTCACTCATCCATAACCTTCATATTAAAAATGGTGTCACTCATCCATAATCTTTGTATTAAAGATGGTGCCTACACATCCATATCCTTTGTATTAAAGACTGTGTCTACTTACCCATAACCTTCACAGTCCTTTGTATAAAGATGGTACCTTGTTAAGCTAGAAATATAACTTCAATCTAGTTCTTAAACAAAATTTAACAACCAATTATATTTTAAAAAGGAGTGTTTTAATAATTAGTTTTTAACTTGCAGATTTTTTTTTTCAGATCAAAACACAGATCACTTCTTTGTAATGTAAAAAGGGAACATCATACAGATTGCTAGAAATTACCTTTGAGAAACAGACAAGAAATAAAAACACTATAAAAATTGGTGTATCAAGGATGCCAGCATTCTTTTAGGCAAGTAGTCATTCACAAAGCTAGAATTGAACTATTTTGAATTTAGTGTCATTGTGTCATAACAATTTTCTTAATAAGCAAGGGCAAACAATGAAACCACTGATCTAGCTAAGCAAGTATATTTACAAGTTTCATTCTTTTTTTGTGTTATTGCATGCAAATTAAGCATGTTTTTAATTAAAATTATTTAAGAATAATTACTAATTTTGCTTCATAAAGTGTTTATAGGTCTAGTTAAAAAAAAATGTTTTAATATGAGTTGAAATTTTATCCTCAAAAGACTTAAACTCAACAACTCTGATTATTTCATAGACAAATGTTTTATGTACTCATTATCATAATTATATTTTGGAACATTTTCAGATCGTCTAGTTATCAGATGATTAGAGCCATCACTTGTGATGAGAAACTGGTCAGAAGTTGAAACATGTGTAAAGTGATATGCCACAAAGTGTTATTTAAGGCAAGTAATCTATTCAATTGGATTTAGGCAATTTAAATTTATTTTCATTGTTTCTTTTGATATATGCTAATTAAGAACAGGAAAGCTGTGGAACTACTGATCTAGCAAGGCATGTATTTTTTTTTTTTTGCATGCAATTTGAGAATATATTTTCAATGTTTATATTTATGTGATGGAAAGTAGTGAAGATTAGAAGATCATTTTTTTTTTCAAAGACAAGTATTACTTCAAATGCTATGATTTTTATAATTTAGACTTAAGTTTCCTTTAATGCTTGTTTAATAAAGAATAGGCAGGCAATTGGTATATATCAATATAGAGCAGCACAGCAAGTAAGCTTTCAATAGTATAGTTTTTTTTTTACTTTGTATTGTAACTGCATGCTAATTTAATCTGTTTTTAATATTAACATAACACTTCGTATATACTTTTCTGTGATCTTCGTTTTTGGAAACTAGTTTTAAATATATGCATATTAGAAAGCCTCATTATGATTTATGTATTATTTATTGAGATAGGTATACTCAGGATTAGCCTTATCAATTTAATAATAAAGTCAATATTTTCAAAATAAACTCTCTTTGCAGGGATAACATTCTATCCATATTCTTATATTTTATAACCTTTTCAGTTCCAAATGCAGTTTACAGCCGAGTGATCTAGTAATGGAGCATGAATACAGATTATGAGAACTATGACTGAGACATCTGAGAACTAAAAAGCACCTATAATCAGAACTGTAGCATGCTTGTACCAAATTGTTCTGAAGGCAAGTTGTTCCTTTCCAATGTGACATTTCATTTCTTGACATTGAATTCGTTTCTTTCCATGTTCACTAAGAACCAGTTTCTGACTACAGACCTACTGAAGCAACGTAGATTGGTGTCTAGGGATTTCTAGAGTTTAATGGCTTTTTTATTTATTGCATGCTAATTGAAAATGTTTTAAATATTTTCCTAACAATTTAAGAATACATGTTTTCTGTTATCTCTTAGCCTTATGGTAATTAGTTTCAAACGTATACTTAACAATAAAACTTATTTTCTTCATTTTAAAATTTAGAGAGCTAGATCCAATTGGGGATTATCCCATTATGAAGTTAGTCAAAATCCCACAATCTTCACTAAGACTTGTTTTTGATTTATCAGCCTGTACACATTTTATTACAACTTTCAGGTTAAGATGCTGAGTACAGCTTAGTTCTCCTCAGATGTAGGTAATAAAAAGAACGCCCAGTTATATCGAACAGGAAACAGTCATGCCAATTCCATTCCTGTGGTTCTCTAGTCATTAAGAATTCTGGACCTGTTTCAACCTACTTTTCCATTCATCTATCTATTGAGCTTATAAGGCAAGTAGTTCATCTAAATGTTAAAATTTACCTTTTTTTTTTTTTCCCCGAGGTCAAGGCAAAGTTTATTCTCGATAAAACATCCTAATTAAAGCACAAATATTTCAAAACTATGAAACAACAGATATTGCCTTACTAAAGATATTTGAAGTATTTTTAAACTAGCTATGTTTTTCTATTTAACTTTTAAAAAAATCTATTTGTTTGTGTTAGATTTACATTTTTCTAAAATTGGTTATTATTCTAAAAAAAAAATTAGTTAATCTCCTTTTCTTTAATAGGATAGCATTTCAAAACCTAAAAGTTGGAGCTGTTGGGTTGAAAACAAATAAATGAACTCACATTAGGCTGCATTACTTCCCAGAAAATTAAAGTAAGTAAGCAATTGGCTCCATTCTTCATGGTACATTTTTATATATAGCCAAATGAAAACTTGAAAGTGATTCTTTTTTTAAAAAATGCCCTTCATGTAAAGGTTATCTGTTTTTGTGGCCTACAGTTAACGAGGGTGTCCTGTGGCCAGCACAATGACCAACTGCCTTTACTTACCCCAACTAATGTCATGTACACATTAGAGCTGGATAGACTAAGAGGAGCCCAAAGGTCCCAAAATTTAAAATATCATGATTCGAACCTGGGACTTCCACTTCGGAAGCTAAATACTTTACCGCTCAGCCACTATACCTCCTAGCAAAGAGAGATAATTGACAAAAAATTGACTTTAAAATACCATGGAGTCTCGTAAATCTTTCTATTTTCCCATCAGACAGTGAGATATTATCAGGGTGTCTGCGGTCTCCTGAAATTCCAGGATGTCCTGGAATCTCCTGGAATTTCATAAAAACTCAAAAAGTCCAGGAAATCTTCTGGAATTTTAAAATCTCTCCTTATAAAAAATTCGGCATCAGCGGATGGGCCGTAAGGCAAAAATAAATTCAAAATTAGCGCAGAATATGTTAACTGCTTCTGACAATAGATAGATCTAATCTATTTATAGATTAGTATTGTTATCGTATCGATTTTTCCCTGAACACGTTGATTTCCATCCAAATAGGAACTACGTTACATATCTTTTTAGACCTAATTTTTATTGTTTCATTTCTTCTGATCCGATTTTCTAACAAAAAATTCTGAAATTTGCCCGACATTTTTTTTCTTCATTTTTTTTAATGAGAAAATATCGGAATTTTTCATTTTCCCATTTTTGGAAGAATATGAAATAAGATTTGACTTGTTTTGGGCATGCGCACATCCAGTCTTTTGACACAACTAATGTTCTATTTTTAAAAAATCTCGTCTTATCGTATTGACTTAGATCTAGATCAATTATTTAGGTCTAGAGTGGTTTGAATCAGTTTAGATAGATGTATTCTAGATTAGTTTCTTTAATTTGAATACTTTTGATCTAGATTATCTAGATCTAGAGCGTCTAGACTTCAAAGGGCTCAATGGCTGCTTGCCAGCTTTTGGAAAGTATCGAGAGTTGAGAGCATCATTATTGATCATAATGCCCGACTGCCTTTTGCTCTGTTGTTAAGATGGTCCCTAGATTTTTTAAAATTTGAACCCTACCTGCCGACTTCCATGAGTTCAAATGGGATTAGATTTAGACATCTAGATCTATTATAAGATATAGATCTAGTATTATAGTTTTAGACATAAGTCATAAGGCCTTATATTATAAGCCATAAGGCAGCGGTTCTCAACCTTTTAAGTTCGATGACCCCTTTTTACAATCCCCCACTCTGCCGCTACCCCGACACACACACACACACATACAGCAATAGTAGAGTAGACAATAACAATCCATATTTTGGATGGTCTTAGTCGACCCCTGGGGGTTGAGAACCCCTGCCATAAGGTGATATGGATGTATTTTGTATACATAGTTAACATAGTGAGTTACTGAGTCTAAGTCTGATAGAATATAATACATGTAGATAAAAAATAGATAATAATAGTAATATATTGGATCTAGAGTGTCTAGAGATCTAGATCCAGGTTATTAGATTTAAGTAAATCTAGATTATAATACTATAGATAGATCTAGATTTCTAGATCTATGGTGAGAAATATATATTAAAGTTTTTTCTATTTAACTAATAACCAATCATTTTAATGCTTTAAAAGCACACTTTTTGTAAACAATTTGTATCAGCATGAAAAGAGTCACATTAGGAAGCCTCAATATGAAGTTTTAAACATTCTCTTCCTCTAAGCATTGCTCCTCATCTGGTTGTTCTTGCTGTCTTGCTTAAGAACTCAGCAGAGATTCATCAGAAGTGTGGCTCCTACTTTTTAGTATTTCCAAAACTCAAGCATGTTTTGATTTTCAAACACGTTAATTCTTTATAGTTATTTGAGAGAGAAGTTTTTACAATACCAGTAAAGCATTTATCTATTATAGTAGAATGCTCAGACTGCCTGGACCAAGATATAAGGCATCTGCAAATAGCTTTCTCCTCTCATCAATATGAACAAACAATAGTGCCTTGCATGCATTTTTGTGTGCAGTAAAGCCTATGCAGTGTAATTATTATGTAATACATTATTTAAAGAAAATATTAAATAATTTTACATGATTAAAAAAAAATATAGCAACATCTTTTTTTAAGTCGCCGCGACAGGCCAGTTAAAAAAAGCGGGATTACAAAATTTCCTAAAATTTTTTCAAAGACTGTTCCCATTACTGCTTATATTTTCATCGGGCTACATTATTAGATCATATTATTTCTGTGCACTGGCAATTTAATAAATAGGTCTTGTCCAGTGACCTAGATCTGTGTGACCTGTGTCCTAGATTTAGATCTAGATCTAGTCAATCTAGTCTAGATATAATTGTTGTGTGTGTGTTTGTTTGTTTTCATGTAGTCTCCCTTGTTCTACTGTTCAGTATGTTAACGTGTTCACGGTTTACTCTTAAGTGTGTCAGTAGTGTGTATTCACTGTGAATTAGTCTCTGCTGGTTAGTCTCTCCTTGTTTTCACGTTAATAAAAATGGAGTGTAACTTTTAAACATCAGTATTGTTAGTGTGTATAGTGATAATATAACAATAATCATAGCTTCTTATTGTGTGTGGCACTGTGTTCAATCTAAGTCTAATTTTAAGCTAGATCTAGATCTAGTATCTAGTCTTATACAAGAATTGTATATCTAATCTAGGGTATTAGTTCAAATTTCTTATATTTTTTAAGAATATGCAGAAGAAAAAATGTATTAGATCTACCAATCTATTCACTATTGATCACTATTCTATAGCCTAGTTTGTATTAAAATGTCATCTTTTCACTATTGTATATTTGTATTAAAATGCTTAAATGCGAAACATCGTTTAATGCACAGTGGGTCACTGTGCAAGACTGTGGTTTGAAAAAGATGTAGATCTAGATCTATCTAGATTTCTAGATCTACAAATCTTGGCTTCAGAAATCGTCCGTCAGTGACACTAAAGTTTTTTGTTGACATTATAAAAACAAACAAAATTATCATTTCAATCATTGGTTAAGCAGCACTTAAATTGCATTTGCAATCCGATAAGCACAAGCGAGTCTGGTAACTCAGTTGGCTGCCTTGTTTGTCATAAGGACTGTCAGTCTCAGTGACTGTCCCTTGTCCTACACCGACAGCTAATCCAGTAACCCAACAAATTCATATTTTTATATTACTGCTAAGAAGGTAATCAACACAAAGTCTTTTGAGCACTTCGAAGGCTGTTTGCCAAAATTGAAAGCTTCATCTCAATTACAAATGTTTCGCAACCTTTTCTAAAAAAATTTCAATTAGATGCACTACTGTTGGTTGCCCTTTAAGGCTTTATGGCCCAAGACCTCTTGAGCATGCTTCAGTCATTTTCGCAAAGACTTAAAAACACCAGCTGTTTTCAAAGAATGTACTTCTTTTGCAACACTGCTTATTGTAGATTTGACATGCACCAACAATCTTCTAAATTAAAAAAAAAAAAACTAAAGCCAGCGCTCGTGATGTTTTAAAT